AGAAAAAAAAATAAAAAGAGTAAGGGTAAAAATTTAATTAAGAAAGCAGGAATCATAAAGAAACAAGAAGTGATCTTGTTGGGCCCCACTGCCCATTAGTTGATTCAAAAAAAAAAATTAATCGAAAATCCGAAGAACAGAATCCAGTCCAGGTACCGGTGTTCTGACATTTTAAAAAAAAAAAAGAAGAAGGAAAAGTAATCATGGAATCTGACAACTATCAACAATTGCTTAATTATCTATGAAGACAATGACTACTCGTGAATGCTACATCACAATTAAGATGATAATTACAGATGCAAAGTACTTTCTTTATACAGAAGAACAGGTTGTTATACAAGAGGAATAAATACCAACCAGGCTAACTATTATGAGTATTACAATGGCACAAATTAGAACCAATATTGTATTTAACACATATGCATCCGCTAGGAGGACATTTCGGTAAAGACATCATGTTTAAGAAGATATGGGACCTATATTATTGACTGCAACTATACAAAGATATCAAAGCATATGTATAAACATGTAATAAGTGTCAATAATGAAAGAAGAATTGAGCAAGATGATTTTTACATCCGATACCTGTGGAATCCCTGTTCTACAAAATAGGCATCAATATAGTTGGTCCTTTGCCTGTAACCTCATGAAACAAATAGTATATCATCGTCACCACTGACTATATGACCAGATGGCCAGAAGCCAGGGCTGTAGAAAATGCGACTGCTCGAAGTGTTACCAATTTTATTTACGACGATATAGTATGTCGGCATGAATGTCCCAGTTATCTGCTGTTTGATCAAGGAACAAATTTTAGAAGCCAAATGCTCAATATTTTTCTATCTAAGTTTCAAGTTGCACACCTATATTTTACCATGTATCACCTACAAACAAACAAGCTAGTAGAGCGATTTAACAAGATGTTATATGAATCACTAGTCAAGACTATTAAGAATGTTAAAGATTGGGATCTGATGATACTATTCGTGTTGTTTACATATCGAACAGCTCATCAGACTACTATGAAGGTGATGTCATTTTATTTAATATACGGAAGAGAAGCATGTATACTGATATCCTCTGATGACGTTATTCTAAATGGTACTATCTTGTAACAAATATTTAATCTCATTGATGTTGTTCCTCAAGAACAAACTAATGCTGTTGCAAGAGTTGAGTAAGTGCAACAGCAAAACAAGACATGACACAATCAACGAATCAAGTCTAACTAAAGTTTCGTGATAGAAGATAAAGTGTTACTCTATTATGCCTATCTTATCCATTTCTGAAGCCACAAACTGGATAATAAGTGGAAGGAACCCTTTTTCGTCTATGAAGTACGACCAAAGGGGATATGCTATCTCTGCACAATTGAAAGAAACGTGCTTAGATGACCAGTTAATCATCAGCTATTGAAACTGTATCACGAATGAGGAACGATACTTATCGAAGAAGATGAAATGACCATGTAGGAATAAGAGAAAAAAATGATAGTAAAAAAAAAAGATATTTTCGATCGGTTCGATCAATTTAAATGATTATTTTATTTAGTTTCTTTATTTTTTGTTGCTTTTGTACAAGTATATATAGGATGTTATTTTTTTTTTCAATCGTAATTTTGTCAAATTCGTTTTTTTATTTATTTTCTATCCATTTTTTAAGAAAAAAAATTTTAATTAGTTATTCTAGAACGATGTCTGACAAAGTCGCTAGGATAATCATGAATTTGTTAACAACAGAGCCTGCATATATAAATGTCATGCCACCACCCTACGACACCTGGAAAACTTATGAGGAAAAAGTTGTAAAAACCCTGTCATGCCTAAGGAGGGTGATATACTTGAATCAGCAGACTGAAACATTAATAACAGCATACTACTTGGGTTAGCTGGTAAAGAGGATGGAATAGCGAAATTGTCTTACCCTGCATTATCATCTGGGAAGCTTGCAGATCTACTATCTATTCCAGAAATGGGGAATAGAGCAGATCTATCAGACTGAAAATATCACTTTCAACAAGATCAAAAGGTTGAGTGCGCATAAATATCAAGTTCTGATCAAGTAAAGGGTTTGCTTATGGAACTCGTAATTAAGAAAGTGAAGGAAGAAAAAACAATTAATGATAAGTCTTAAGAATTGTGTAATGAAGATCACTTATTACAAAGGTTGCCTAATTGAATAATTGACTCTTAACTTCGCTTGTTTGGCTCAATCAGTTATTTCGATTGTTTCTGCTTGTTCTGTATAATCAGTTATATCTGTTATTTCTATTATTTCTATTATTTCTATTATTTAAATTATTTCTATTATTTTTATTATTTCATTGTGTCACTAGAAAAAGTATATATACAGTGGGTGGCCAAAAGTCACCAAACAGTTCAAATGCCAATAGTAAATTTTTTTTTTTTACTAATTATATTTTTTAAAATTTTTTTTTTTTTAAATATACATTATTTTATTAATATATTTAATATATTAATATTTCGTAGGTCCCCCATGTGCCGAA